AAAGTGAATAACTCATCAAATTTCTTTCTACTAATAATAAATGTACAAAATCATTAATTCTCTTTCTATTTAAGAGAAAGTAGTTATCTTATTTAATCTTTCTCTACTTAAATAAAAGTTCTAAAATTTACAAATTTTTTTTTATTTAAATGAAACTACTAAACTCATCAATTTTCTTTCTATTTGAATAAAGGTACTGAACCTTGCTATTTGAGTGAAATTACCTAACTAATAAAATAACTTACTGTTTGATCGAAAGTACTCAACTAATTAAATATCTTTCTATTTAAATAGAAGTACTTACCTTATCAAATTTTTTTATATTTAAATAAAAGTTTTTAACAATTAAAAATCTATTTCTACTTAAATGAACGTACATTTTTTAGTTAATCTCTTTTTACTTAAAAAAAGTTACTCAAAAATTGAAATCTCTCTCTACCTAAATGAAAGTAATAATCTTATCAAGTTTCTTTTCTTTTGAAAAAGGTACTCAACAAAAAATGCCACAGCAACTGCTACTGCACCTGCACATGCAACTACAAATGCCACGCCAACTAAAAATGCAAAATCAAATGCACCAGCAGTAGCACATTTATCAGCCGCTACACTTGCTGGTGCAACCGCAACTAGACTTGCGCTAGCAACGGCTAATGTAACAGCAACAGACAACGCATTAGCAAATGCATGTAAAACTGCTTTTAAAACTAAAATTTTAACCGCAATCGCTGCTGCAACTACAAATGCAACTGTTTCCGCACATGCATTGCGCATGCAACTGTACTTGCAGCTGCTACCTTAACTGCTACTGCGTATGAAACAATAAAAGCATCACCGTCTGCAACTGCAAATGAACATGCAATTACAATAAAAACTGCATAAGCAGCTTTACAGGACATAAAACTGCCAATGTTAATGCAGCAGAAAAGGCAACTGCAGCAGCACATTCGATTGCAATTACGCGAGCAACTTTCACTGCAAATGCAACTACAACTGCTTTTGCAACTGTAAATACTGCTTCTACTGCAAAAGCAACAGCACTTAAAAATAGACATACATCTGCAACTGCAACTGCATTTGCAAATGCAATTCCCAATAATACATATAAGGCAGCTTCACTGCACATACAACTACAAATACTACTGCTACTGCTCATGCAACTACACATTAAACTGAATTTGCAAATGCATATGCTTTTTGACCTATATCTGCAACAGCAATTGCAAATAAAAATGGAATTTTACATTCACCAGCCACGGGGTCTGCTACTTCACATGCAACCGCCACAGCTCAACACATGCAACGGTAGCTGTTACTTTATCTAAAAATGCTACTGTAGCATCAACTTCATTTAAAAATGCTACTGCAGATGCATATTAACCTGCAAATATAATAGCAACTGCGTCTGTAAAAGCAACTTTACTGCACATGCAACTGCATAAAAAACTGCAAATGCAAATTCAAATACAACAACTTATTTCTATGCAACAACAAATGCACAAAAAGCTGCTACTGCCACAGGAACTTTTATTGCAACTGCCACTTTAAATGCAAATAAAAATGCAAAAACAACTGCAATTTTTACTGCAACTTTAACTGCAGATGCAACTGCCACTGCACATCTTACCGCAACATCTACTGCCACAGCACATGCAGATGCAGCTGCAATTTTACTCGCCAACTTAATTGCAAATGAATCTACAACTGTACATGCAACTGCACTTGAACATTTCACTGCAACTGCAACTGCTAATGCACATGCTACTGCAAAAAGACATGACATGCATATGCGACTTTAAATGCACTATTAACTGCAATTGCTACTGCAACTGCGACTGCAACTGTACATGCAGCTGCCACTGCAACTGCAACTGCACATGCCCTTTAACTGCTACTGCAAAAGGAACTTATATTGCAACTGCCAATACATAAGCAACATAACTTAAATCATCAACAAGAACTGCAACTGAGCATGCTTCTAGAATTATACCTGCAACGGTATCTGCAAAGGCAAACTTAGCTTCACATGCAGCTGCAACGGAAACTTCTACTGCACATGCAACTGCCACTGAACTGCACATGCTATTGCAACTGCAGCTTCATAATAAACTGCAAATACACCAGCAAATACAACTACAAATGCAACTGCACTGAATTTGCCACAGCAACTGCTGTGCTACTGTTATTGCAGCAACAAAAGCATAATCAACTGCGACTACAATTGCACATAAGAAATTACCTGAAATTTTTACGGCAACTGTAACTGCAATAGAAAAAAAAATTACTACTGCAACTGCATCTATACTTGACCCTGCAACTGACTATTAATAGAAACTGTCACTTCAACTGCACATTTAACTGCAGCAGTAGATGCACTGTCATTTCCAAATTTACCTGCAGCAGCAACAGCACATTCACTAGCATATAAACATGCAACTGCAACTGCTGCTTCAACCACAAATAAAGCAGCACCTGCACACTTACCTGCAAATTCCGCTTTAACTGGTAATGCACATGCCTATTTAATTGCACATGCCAATACAACTGCAACTGCTACTGCAACGGCAAATGCAACTAATACTGAAAATGAATCAGCAGCTTAAATGCAATTGCACATTCTAATGTTAATGAAACTAAAACTGAATCTGAAATGCACAATCACCTACAAATTTACATGCAACAGCAACTACAACTGTAACTGCAAATGAACATGCACTTGCTGTTGCCACTAAGCTGTAACTGCTACTGCAACTTTTACTGCAGCCGCACATACATATGACACTGCAAGTTAATCTGCAACAGCAATTTAAAGCGCAATAGCTAAAAAAACTGCAAACGAAACCCTACATTTCAATTCCACTGCTACTGTTACTACACAGGCCACTTTAACTGCAACTGCAAATGCAAATTAAATTATATCTGCTTCTTTAACTGCATATGCAATAGATACTGATTGTGTAAGTGTTACAACTCCTGTCGTGGAACATTAACCTACATCTGCACATTCTACTTTTTAACTGCGCATGCATCAGATACTAGAACCTAAACGGCAAATGCAACTGCACTTGTCCTTGCAACGATATATCCTACGTATACTGCTACTTAAACTGCACTTGCAATAGCATATAGAACTGCAAACGCAAATGCAACGGCACCTGCCTTTCCAAAAGCAAATGCTATTGCAAATGCATTTAAACCGACACATGCCACGGATGCTGCAACTGCTACAGCAAAAGCAAAAGAAACTGCTTTTGTACTTGCAACTGAATAGTAAACTGCACCTGCAACTGCACAGTCAACTGCAGATTCAACTGCAGTTAAAACTTTACATGAACATACAGCAAACTGTGCAATAAAAACTGCATTTTATACGGTATATGCAACAGCAACTGCAAAGTTAACTGCAAATTGCAACTGCTTCTACAACTGAAGCTGCAATGGCAACTGCAACAGCATATGCAGTCGCTCCTATACCTGCAAATGCAACAGTTACGGCAACTGCAACAGAAAATGTATCTGCAGTTACTACTGTACTGAAAGCCGCACAGTTAACAACAGCAGAACTGCACAATTACCTGCTAATTCCACTGCAACTGAAACTTTACGTGCATCAGCAACCAACTATAAACGGGAAACTGCAGCTTACCCAGCACATGCACCATTGACTGCACATTAAACGGTAACTGCATCTGAAACAGCACATGCTACTGCACCTGCACCTGCCCGGGCAATAACCCCGGCAACTGTAACTAAGACTAGAGTTGCAATTAAACATTTATCTGAAATTGCCTGTGCAACGGCAACTGATACTACAACGCCAAATTAAGCTGCAATTCTAATTACACCTGCATTTGCAAATATATTTGCAACTTTACTAGCAACTACAACTGCCTCTAAAACTAACACTTCTACTGCTAAAGTAAATACACATGCAACGGTACTTACAATTTTATCAGCTGGTGCAACTGCACCTGCAGTTTTCACTGCACTTGCTACTTCAACTACAACTGAAACAAGAAATTCTTATACACCAGCAAAAGCAACTGCCACTGCAAATGGAATAGCAACTGCTTCTGCAACTTTACATGCACTTGCAACACACTATTCAAAAGCAACTGCACATAGAACTGCTACTGCAACTGCTACTGCAAATGCACTTACCACTGCGACAACAACAGCTCATGCGTATACAATTTAAAACGCACTACTTACTGCAATTGCATATGCAAATTAATTTGCGCATGCAACTGCATCTTCAAAAGATAATAAAACCAAAAAGAAAACTGCAACTGCACATGCAACTGCAATTACCTCAGCACAAACATAGGCGACTTTTAATGCACAACTAACGGCAATTGCTAAAGCACCAAGCAGACGCAACTAAAAGTACACATGCTAAGGCTACTGTAACTGTAACACTACATGCAGCTGCTACTGCTACTGCAACTGCACATGCTAACGCAACAGCTACTGCTACACCACATGAAAATGCAACAGCAAATTTACCTGCAACTGCAATTGCAATTTTATCTGCAACTGTACATGCAACTGCATCTGCACATTTTACTGCAACTGCAACTGCTATAGCACATGATAATAAAACTACAACAGCAAATACATATGGTAATTTAAATGCACTATTACCAGCAATTGCATATGCACATAAAATTGCAGACGCAACTTTATGCAACTAAAATTTCACATGCAACTTTATCTGATACTGCAAGTTCACACGCATCTGCTACTGCAATTAAAAATGCATATGACACTAGACACACATCTGCGACTGCAACTTCAAATGTACAGGCATTTGTATATAAGACTGCATATGCAGTTTTACTGCCCAATCAACTACAAATACCAATGCAGAATAAAAGGCAACCGCAGCAGCATATTTAACTGCAAATATACAAGCAGCTTTAGGTGCACATTTAACTAAATATGAAAATGTAAATAAAACTGTAACTAAAATCGCCACTAAAGCTGCAGATTAAACAGCTACTGCACATTTTACTGCGAATCTTACTCCAACTACAACTGCAGATGCACCTGCAACAGCAATTGCAAATGTAACTGCAACTTCACATACAACTTCAACTGCACATGAAACTGCAACAGCAGCTGCACATGCACCTAATATGCAAGTGCAAATACAGTTGCAACTAAAAAGGCGACTGTAACTGCATATGTAACTGCTCTGCACATGCAAATTTAACTGCTACTCTAACTAAAAAAGCACCTACAACTCTATCTGCAAAAGCAAATACTACTGCAACAGAAAAAGCAACTGCAACTGAAAATGTAATAGCTACTACAAATGCAGCTGCGTCTGCATCTTTACCTGCAAATGCAACTGCAAATGCCACTGCTAATTCAACTGCAAATAAAACTAAACATGCAACTGTACATGCAATTGCAATTACAATTGCATATGTAACAACTATAGACATGTAAATATAACTGCTACTTTTACTGCAAAAGCAAATAAAAATGCGACTGCATATAAAAAAACAACGGCAACTAAAAAAGCAACCGCAAATAAAGATGCAATTGCAACTGCACATGCTACTGCTACGGCAACTGAAACTGTACATGCAACTAAAAATACATCTACGACTCTAACTGCAAACGCACATGAAATTAAAAAAAAAACTGCATGTGCAGCTATACTGCACATGCTACTGCTACTACAACTGCTCATGCATATTCAACTTTAACTGCACTACGAACTGCAATTGCAGCGGGAGCTGCTGTTGCATATAGCACTGAAACTACAACAGCACATGCATATGCTATTTTAAATGCACGACCGACTGCAATCACAAATGTACCTGCAACTGCAGACGCAACTGCAGCTGCACATGCAATTGGCACTGCAAATGTAGCTGCTACTGCAACTAAAACTGCACTAGTAACTAGACACACAACAGCGTCTGCAAATGCAAATGTACAGGCAATTGCATATAAGACTCTATATGCAGCTTCTATAACATACAGTAATAAATGCTACAACAGCTTTAAAAGTGACTGCAGCAGCATAATCAATTGCAAATACACAAGCAACTTTAACTGCTAATGCTACTGCAGCTGCATTTGCAATTGTACATGCTGCTGCTACTGCAATGCCCACTGCACTAGCAATTTGACAATAATCTGCGACTGCAACTGCAATTGAACATTTAACTGCAAAAAAAACATATTAGGCAGCTTTAATGCACATACAACTGCAAATGCTACTGCTACATCCCATGCAACCGCACGTGCTACTGAATCTGAAGATGCATATGCATCTAGACTTATATCTGCAAATAAAAATGCATGTTTAAATGCAGATGTAGAGGACTTTTTAACTGACTGTGCAGCTACAACTTTATTTCACATTAAAATGCAGCTGCCACTTTATCTAAAAATGTCACTTTTTCTTCATATTTACCTTCAAATGCACTAGCAACTGCATCTGTACATGCAACATTACGGCACATGAAACTACAAATAAACTAAATTTAATAATACAACTGCAATTGCATATTTACCTCAAAATACAATAGCAACTGCAACTGCCTATGCAACTGCACAGGCAACTGCAAATGCCACTAAATCTGCAAATGCATTTTAACTTCAACTGAAGAGGCAACTAAAGCAGCAGATGCTACAGCTACTGCACATGATACTGCAATTCTTACTGCAACTAAATCTTCAGATGCACCTGCAAAAACTTATGCTACTAATATTGCTACTGCAGCTGCACTATAATATGCAATTGCAAATTTTCCTTAACTGAAATTCCAAATAAAACGACAATTGCACATGCATCTGCAACTGGTAATGCAATTGATACTTTAACTGCACATGCCAATTAATCTCTATCTGCAACGCTATCAGTAAATACAAATGGTGCTCCACATGCAGCTGCAACTGCAACTTTAAAAGAACATGCATCTGCAACAGCAACTGCCCATGTAACATGTTTTTTATCAGCAACTTATATGCAAATTTTACTTAGCATGCAGCTGCAACGTAAACTGCAACTTTAATTGCAAATTAAACTGCAAATGCTACCTAAATTGCCACTTTAAATGCAAATCTAACTGATACTGAAACTGCACAAGCAATTGCAACAGAAACTGCACATGCTCTTGTACCCATATCTGCAACAGCAATTGAAAATTTAAATGCTATTTTCAAGCTGTTGCAACGAAAAATGAAACTGAACATGCAATTGCCACTGCACTGCACCAGCTAGTGAAAATGCAACTGCACCAAAAAATGCTACTCCTGCTGAATATTGAACTGCAAATTAATCAAAAACTGCCACTGCACATGCACCAGCACTTTGCGTGCTACAGCAACTCCAAATGCACATGCAACTGCTACTCAAACTTCACATGCTAATGCAGATATATCAACATATTTTTTTGCTACTGCAAATCTACATGCAACTGCAACATTTCCAAGAAATTTTATTGCAACTTCAAAAACTTATGTAAATTAAAATGCATCAATAACTGCAATTTAAACTGCACATGCAATGGCATTTACAAATGCTTATGTAACTACTCTGCACATGCAAATTCTGCTGCTACATTAACTGAAAAGGCAAAAACAACTGCATCGCGTAATGCAAATAGAACTGAAATTAAAAAGTAGACTGCAACTAAAGATGCAATTGCTACTTCACATGCAACTGCAACTGCACTAAAACTGCTAATTCAGCTGCAACTATATATTTAATAGCAAATACGCCAGAAACTCCAACTGCCTATGCAACTCTAATTTAAACGGCACCTTCAAATTAAGTTCTATCTTCAAAGCAAACTGCAAATGCAAATGCTGCTTTACATGCAGCTACAACTGCAACTTTACCAGCACATGCAACTGCAATTGCAACTGCGAATGCAACTGTTCTTATGTCAGTAACCTATAGGCAAATGTAACTTTGCATGACGCTGCAACAAACACTGCAACTGCAATTGCAAATAAAACTGCTAATGCTACTTTCGCTGCAACTAATCATGCTAATGCTACTTCTACTAACATTGCCCATTCAGTTGCTGCTGCATCTGAACATGCTTTTGTACCTATATCTGAAACCGCAACTGCCAATAAAAACAAAATTTCACATAAAGCTGTAACAGAAACTGCAACTGGAAATGCAACCGCAACTGCACTGCACATGCTACGGCAACTACCACTGCATCTAAAAATGCTACTGCAGCTGCATAATAAACTGCAACTGCACATGCTATTGCACTTACAAATGCATAGGTAACTACTCTGCGCATGCAAATTTTACTGCAACTTTAACTGCAAATGCTACTACATCAGCAACTAGCAATGCACACGCAACTGTTACTGCCCATGCAACTGCACATGCAAATAAATCTGCAAATACCAATAAAATTGTAACTAGAAGGTGAGTAAAACTGAAAATGCAACTGCTAATGTACATGCAAGTGCAACTCTAACTGCAACTTTAACGTCGGATTTACCTGCACTGCACATGCAACAGCAACTGTTATGGAACATGCCCCTTCAACAGCAACAGAAAATGCAACTAAATCTGCAAATGCAAATAAAACTAAAACTAGAAAGGCTACTAAAAGTGCAGATGCAACTGCAATTGGACATACTACCGCAACTTTCACTGCGATTTTAACTGCAGATGCAACTGCAACTGCCCCTGCCGCTGCACATTTAGAAGCAGCTGCAAATTTACCCGATCCTGCATTTGCACATACAACTGCAACTGCAACAGCAACTGCAACTGCAAATGTAATTAAATCTGCCAATGCACAAAAACTTAATCTAAAAAGGCTTCTAAAACTACTTATGCAACTGCTTTGGAACATTCTACTGCAACTCGAACTGCAATTTTAACGGCAGATGCAACTGCAACTGCACATGCCATTGTAACTGCTACTGCAGCTGCACATTTATATGCAACAACAAATTCACGCTTAACAAAAATTGCAAGAAAACGACAATCGCACATGCAACGCCAATTGCTAATAATACGAAAAATGATACTGCAGCTGCATATGCAAATTTACATAAAACTGCAACAGCAGAGGCCACAGCATATGCTACAAAAGCTGCACATAAAGAAGCCACCTCAACAGCAGATTCCACTGCCTTTAGAGCTGTTTATAAACAAGCAACAGCTACTGCACAAGCTAATATTTTTGCATATGCTACTACATCAGCACAGGCAACTGCACTGCAAATGTAACTGCAACTGCAACAGCTACTGCAGATAAAACTAAAATTGCATTTGCACATGTAACTGCAAATATAACTGCACATTTAAATGCAAATACAGCAACATATATCTATGCAACTAAAAATAAACATGCTACTGTTACTGCAACCGCAAAATTAATTGCAACTGCATCTACATATGCAAATAAAAATTCATATAAAACTGCAACTTCAACTGTACATGCTACTGCTACTTTAACTACAACTTCTATTGCAGATGCAACTTCAACTGTACAGGCTACTACAACTGCTACTGCAGCTTCACATTCAAATGCAACTGAAAAATCACCTGCAACTGATATTGCAAATGCAAATGCACATGCAACTACAACTACAACTGCAGATGCAACTGCAAATTAAATAACAAATTTCTATGCAACTTTAAATGCACTAGCAAATGCAATTTTGAATGCTACATCTACTGCACAAGCAACTGCACTGCACTCTAAGCGGCAACTGCAAATGCAACTAGAACTGCAAAAGCAAATATAACTGCATATTTTACTGCAACTGCAAATGCAGCTATAACTGCGAAAACAAATTTAACTGCATATTTTACTGCAACTGCACATGCAACTGCCACTAAAACTGCACACACATATTCAAATAAAACAACATATTTCTATGCAACTGCAAATTAGCATGCAACTGCTTCTGCAACACGAACGTATTTTGCAACTGCAACAACATATGCCCATAAAAATAAACTAACAACTGCAATTGCAACTGCACATGCATTTGCAATTACAAATGCATATGTTACTGCTGTGCACATGCAAATTTAACTGCTACTCTAAATGCAAATGCAAATCCAACTGCAACTAGAAAGGCAACTTCAACTTAAAATGCAATTGCTACTGCACATGTAGCTGCAACTGCTACTTAGCGGCACATGCTGTGCAACTGTAACTGCACATGGATGTTGACTAAAATCCAAAAATGAAACAGCAACTGCAAATGTTTTTTCACTTGCAGCTGCAACAGATACTGCAACTGCAATTGCAAATAAAATTGCAAATAAAATTGCAAATGCTACTTTAACTGCTACTTTACATTCCAATGCAACTTCTACTGCAACTGCACATTCTACTAAAGCTAATATTGCACATGCTTCTAAACTTATATTGGCAGCGATACCTGCAAATGCAAATATAACTTCACATGCAGCGGCAACGGTAATTGCAACTAAACATGCAACTGTTACTGAACTGCACATGCTTCTGTAACTGCTACAACATCTAAAAATGCTACTAAAGCTGCATATTAAACGGCAAATAAACCAGAAACTGCTACTGTACATGCAGTTTTACGGCAAATGCAACTGCTACTGCACAGAAACTGCAAATGCAACTGCTACTGTAACTGCTATTGTACATTTCACTAAAATTACTAAAGCTCATGCATATGAAACTTCGAATACATTATATACTAAACACGGCAAATGCAACTGCAACTGCACATTTAACAGCATCTGCAAATGCAAACAAATGCGCAGCTAAAAAGAAAATTGCAACAGCACATGCAACTGCAACTGCATACGCAACTGCAACTTTACATTCATATACAACAGCGAATTAACCGGCAACTGCAATTGCAAATGCAATTAAATATAAAACTGCAACTGCTACTTTACAAAACATTGCTACTGAATCTCTAATTGCAAACTTTAAAGCAACTGCAACTGTATATGCAACTAAAGATTTAACAGTTATTGCCACTGCTAATGCAGATGCACCTGCTACTGCCCATAAATTTGCATTTACAACTGCCCATGCCACTGCATTGCTCAGGCAACTGCAACTGCAACAAAAACTGCCCAAGCAGCTGCAGATTTAACTGCAAATAAGACTGAAACTAAAACTAGTAATGAAAATGTCTATGCCAATGCAAAAGCAAATGCAATTGCAAAAGCTCCTAAACCTGCACTTGCCACTGCACTTTACATTTAACTGCAACAGCTACTGCAACTCAAATTGCAACAGAACCTGCATATTCCATGGCAAATATACCTGCAGCTGCCACTATAACTGCAACAGCAACAAAACAATTAACTAAAAATACAAATACACATGTCTATGCAACTGCAAATGCACTTGCAACTTCTACTTTAACAGCAACTTTAAATGCAACAAAAACTTTATTTCCAAATAAAAATAAACAAGCAACTGAAACTGCAACTGCAACTGAAACTGCAACTGCAACTGCAATTGCAAATGCAACTGCTACTTATGTTTTATATTATATTTCTTTTTATTATTTACTGTAACTGTAACTAAAACTGCACTTGCAACTAAAACTTTTACCGCACATCCAACTGCTACAACAACTATACACAACACAACAACAGAAAATAGCACTTAGAGTGCAAATAAAAATTTTTAATAAAATTTTTTTATTTTTATGTGTACGAGCAAAAGAAAATATAACCGCACAAGCGACTGAAACTAAAACTTTACATAAATATGCATATGTAAATCCACAAAAACTGCAATAAAAGTGCAACTGCAATGAAACATGCACAAGCACCTGCAAATTTACATGAAACTGCTACTAAAACGGTAACTTTTAAGGATACTACAACTATATATGTAAATAAAAATGCATTAGCAACTGCCACTGCAAGTGCAAGTGCAACTGCAACTGCAGCATCATATGCCTATGCAAATGCAACTGTAACTGCACATGCCACTGCAACTGCCACTGCAAATGCAAATTTACATATATATGCAACATAAACTGCAAATGCACTTTCGAATGGACATGCTACGGCAACTGCGAATACTACTGCACATAAAACAGCAACAGCAACTGTAATAGAAAATGCAACTGCAAATGCAAATTTACATATATGTGCAACAAACACTGCAAATGCACCTTCGAATAGACATGCAACGGCAACTGCGACTACTACTGCACATAAAACAGCGACTGCAATTTTAACAGCAAATGCAACTGCAACTGCTACTTTACATACAAATGCACAGGCAAATAAAACTTCATTTTTATCTGTAACTGCAACTGCCTCAACAATTGCAACTGCTGCTACTACGGCACTTTAAAAAGCAAATTAACTTAAAACTGCAAAAAAMCGTCTACTGCAGCAAGAGTAGAACCTGGAAATAAACATGCTCAGCAACTGCAACAGGAGCGGCMAATAAAACTGCAACTACTACGGCAAATACACATGCCACAGTAACTAAAACTCTATCAGAACTTGCCACTGCAACTACAACTGCAACAGAAACTTCTTATAAACCTGCATCTGTAGCTGCCTCGGCAAATGAAATAGAAACTACACATACACCTGCTACTGCATAAGAAACTCAAACTTAAACTGCAACTGCAACTGCACGTGTATTTGCAATAGCACATAAAATAACAACTGCAACAGTAACTGCAAATTAACCTCTAACAGCAGCTTTTTCTGAAACTAAAACTGCAACTGCTACTGCAACTGCACATGCMCCTGCCACTGACCACGCAACGGCAACTTCTACTGCAACAGCATATGATACTGCAATAGCAATTGCTTCGAGAAATGCACACAAACCAAACACCTGCAAATGCAACGGTTACAACAACTACAAAGAACATGAAACTAAAACTCTTACTGCTACAGCAACTTTAAACGCACTTACAACTAACCATGCCCATTCAACAGCAACTGTAACTAAACTATAACTGCCATTGTCACTGTAAAGGCACCAGCACTTGCCCATAAAACGGCAAAAGAAGCATAAACTGCACATGCAATTGCCAATTCATTAACAATTTAACATGCAACAATTACGGCACCTGCATTTACAAATGCTACTTAAAATGCAACTAACAATGCACCTGCACAAGCACCAGGAATTTAACATGCGACGACAAGTGCCACTTCAGCTACAACCAAAACAGCAACTTCAATTGCAAATGCTACTGCAACTGCAACTACAACTGCTACTGCAATTGCAAATTTACCTGCAACTGCAATAGCACCTACACCTGCACATGCAACAGCTACTTCTACTGCACATTCGACTTTAACTACATCTTTACCTTTCACTGCAAGTAGAACTAAAAATACAACTGCAACTAAAACTGCACATGCAAGTGCAAAGAACCATGCAATGACAACTTCAAACCATACTGCTCATACAACTTCGACTGCTACTGTAAATGCAGAAGCAACTGCAAAGGTAACTGATAATTATTAAACTGCGCATTTAACTGCTACTGCACATACAACTGCAACTGCAAATGCCACAGCAACTGCCTCTGCAACTTTACATGCACTAGCGAATGACCATTTAACCGCAACAGCACATTAAACTGCTACTGCAACTGCAAAAGAGGCTGCTATTTAACATGCATTGGCAACTTCATCTTCCACTGCATATGCTACATCAACTGCACATGCAGCAGAAACGGAAACTGCAACGGTCAATGCAAATGCACTGTCCCTTGGAACGTCATATGCAGCTACTACTGCCTTAGCAACTGCACTTGCAATAGCATATAATGCTGCAAAGAAAAAAGCAACTAAACTTGTCCTGGCAATAGCAAATACAACATTAAATTAACAAGAACCGGCACATGCAACCGCTTCTTCAACTACAGTAGCAAACTCAAAAGAAACTGCATTTTATTACTGCCTGCTATTTCACAATCAACGGTAACTAAAACTGTTACTGCACTTTTAACTGCCACTACAACTACACACGCAACTACAAAAGCAAATAAAACTTTAATTGCAGATAATATTTTTCAATGAAACGAATAAATTTTTAAATGTTCTGACTACTAAAAATTTAACCGCAAAAGCAACTGCAACAAAAATTGCACATAAATATGCAACTGCAAATCTGCAAACAACTTTAATTTCAAATGCAACTGCTACTGCGAATACACATGCACCTGCAAATGCACATGCAATTGCTACTGAAACGGTAACTTTTAAAAAAACTGCAACTACATATGTAAATGAAAATGCATAAGCAACTGCTACTGCAAATGCAACTGCAACTGCACATAAAACTGCAACTTTACCTGCCACTACATTGCTCATTAATCATCTACTGCAAATTGCATCAGCAACTAAAACTGCAACTGCAACTGCAAATGCAGAATTTGCTAATTCCGCAAATAATTCTGCTACAACAACAACATATAAACTTGTAACTGCTCATGCAACAGCTACTCAAAATTCTTGAGCAAACGCCACTGCAATTGCAACTGCTTTCGCAACTGCACATGAACTTATACTGGCACATGCCTTAACCACGGCAACTGAAACAGCACATGCAACTGCAGCTGCTGTTCTTGCAATTGAACGTGCTACTGCCACTGTAACTGCACATGCGAAAGACTTTTTAAAAAAAATTCAAAACCAAAAAACACATGCAACTACAACTGCCACGTCAACTGCACATGCACTTGCAATCGACCATACAACAGCAAAAGCAACTCATAAGAACCATGTCACTGCAAATTTAAAAAAAAATTTTACAAGCATCAGCAACAGCAATTGCAACTTCAATTGTTACTGTAAACGCCACTGCAACTGCTACTACATAACAATATATAACCTTACATGCAACAGTAAGGGCAACTGCTAAAGTGAATGTACTAGCAGTTTCACATACCTCAGCCACTGCATATACAACTGCTACTGCTACTTTAAATACAACTTGAAATAAAACTACACATGAACCTGCTGACGACGGTGACACGGTAATTGAAAACCCACAATAAATGCAAATGCAACTGCAGAATCACCTGCCATTGCACATGCTACAGCAGC